TTTTTTTAATAACAGGTTACTATAATTGACTTGCACGCAACGAGAAATCACCAATCGTTCACAACAAACCTGAAGGGTATCCAGAACCAAATATTTTTGATGATTTTAATTCTTTTTCAACAAATGTCCAATGCTTCAAGATTTGATCACGTGTGACCTTAGCGCAAATGCTTGCAGCGCTCACAATGGGATACTTACTATCTGCTTTTTTTTCTACTATTATATCTATTCCAGGAAATATGTTTGAAAGTTTTGCTTTATATGACTCGGGAGGCCCTACCGTGTCAATATATATCTATAAAAGATAAACGATAATACAAATGTATTAAGACATAATAATAAGGGACGCTGAAATTATGGATATTATAGAATCCTATAAAATATTATCTAAAATTTTCAGCGCTCCCGAAGGATATGTATAGACTACGAGCACAAACGCTAACCTCAGTCACGTTGACCCCTTGAGTTAACACTTGTCGAATCAATTCGATTGTAGTATCATGTGCCTGAGCGTTCAGATTATACTTATTCCTTAAATATAAATAGTCGAATTAGCTTGTGTTGATAAGCCAATTCTTGATCATTATATTCACATTTTTAGCATATTCCATGAAATATCTTGAGGTGATAATACACGCACACTCCACGCGATATTCTCTTGATGTGATTGAATTAATCTATCAATCGAATGAAAAACAATCTCTTCATCCAACTCAGTGAACCCATTTTGAATAGCTTTTGAAATTAATCCTTCTTTATTTGAAATTAATTTTGAATATTCACCATATCCATCATAAGCTTTATCAAGTTGTTCTCTAACATAGGGAATTAATTTTTTACTTAATAGTTGCGAAGTATTCCAACCAGCATGGCCATCAAATACACCAAAAAATAAACGATCGCCACCATTCTTTGAACTTGGAACAATTAATTCATATTTTGTATCCTCGATTGGGTTATTTGATGCTAATTGATTTGTATCATAACGATAGACTCCGTTGTTACGTTGAAGTAAAAATGATAATTGATTCTCTCGTAATTTTAATGTAGCCTCTAGTGGCGAGAGAATAATTTTATGATGCTGATTATTTGAATTGTCAATGGATTGTTTTCCTTTTTTTTTTTGCAAATAATAATAAATCGATCCACCAATCCCGGCAACCACTGCAG